GACCAGGCCTATTTTAGTTTTTCCTTCCCCAGGCAGCTGCATGTTAAATGTTGCCAATGGGGCTACCTGTCGTGGTGAAGATGCTCATCCTGTTCACATAGGGCGAGCTGATTTAGTGCCAAGTGAACCATCTATCCATGTACCAGTAGAACTAACCATCCATATTCTAGTGATACTGTTTATGTGTTAATGAGGTCATCCAACTCTGTACCTAAGAGACAACACATCCAGGTATCAGTTGAGCTCGCTGTCTTGGTGCCCATGGATGTCTACTTTGTGTCAAATAGAATTTTCAATCTTTGTGCCAGTTGGACTATTGTACCAACAAGGCTATCTGTCTTGATGCCATTGTAGTATCCCCGGTGCCTCAAATGTCTTTGCCATCCAGACTATCTAACTATGTGCCAATTAAATTCCTGTCTTGGTGCCAATAGGGTATCGATTTTAGTAACAGTGGGACTTTCTGTCTCTAAGCATATGGGATCATTCATCCATGTGCCAGTGGAGCTAGCAGTATTGGTGCCAATGGAATTGTCCATCCTCTTGACAATGTGTTATTTTTTCCAGCCACAATGGGCCCATCTATTTTTGTGCAAGTTGGGCCAAAAACCAATGTACCAGTGGGTAGTCCATTCATGAAGAGATGTCTCCCTATCTAATGCTGCACACACAGACCTAACATGGAATCCTGCAAAGATCCATAGTTAAACACTGTCCCATTTTGGCCTCTCATTTAAGGCTTTTGACTATCCTCTGTCCATTGTGTACTCACTTAAACTTGGAAGGGCTTGGGGGCCTTAAAGGCAGGGAATCCCTGACCCTCTGCCCAGCTGATGGGAGCTATCTCCTTTGTTGCAGGACTGACAGCTCCTTTAGCTTCATGGCATTCTTCTTCACCTTCATGGCCCAGCTGGTCCTCAGCATCATCCAGGCTGTGGGCATCCCAGGCTGGGGTATCTGGTAAGAGATTGAGGTATCTGGGACTGACCCATGGCTAGTGTAGGTGGCACCTTGTTATGTCTTTTGCTTACGTCCATATGCTAAGCTGCCTGGCCTGGGAGGACACTATGAATTATAGAAAGTATGACAGGATTCAAGCTAGTGGAGTAGACAGTGCCATAGTATTTGAGGAGAAGAAGACCTTACAGTGGTTTCTGGGGGCTGAGGAGTGTCTAAAATCATGGGGGAACCCAAGGAAAGGAAGCATCATGTCTGAGGAGTTCATTTCCTGAGCCATGGGGAGAACTCTTTCTGAACCACTGACATAGGCCCTTTGGGTATAAATAAGATGGTTCCTTTGAACCCAATAATATGGTCCCTCCATGTAACAGTGAGACGGTCCCTTGCTCTAGTGCATAGTGGGATGGCTTTGGGTACCCCTCACCATGCTGGGTAGCCTCACAGCTGGCCTCTTCCTACAGCGGCTGGATTGCCACCATCTCCTTCTTTGGAACAAACGTTGGCTCAGCGGTCGTGATGCTCATTCCCACCATCATGTTCACAGTTGTGGCTGTCTTTTCCTTCATTGCCCTCAGCATGGTACGTGGTTACCTCAAGGGTGAGAGGGGGGTGGCTTTGGAAAGGGGCTATGACCCAGAAGTCTCTTCAGGGACTAACTGGAATGGCTTGGTGGACTTTGCTTCTGATGCACAGAGCACAGGTGGGAGTGGGGGACTAGCTTTGATTAACTCTTCCTTGTGCTCCTCCTCCTCCAGGTTCATAAATTCTACCGGGGCAGTGGGGGAAGTTTCAGCAAAGCTCAGGAGGAGTGGACCACGGGGGCATGGAAGAACCCACACGTGCAACAAGCAGCCCAGAATGCAGCCATGGGGGCGGCCCAGGGTGCCATGAATCAACCGCAGACTCAATATTCTGCCACCCCCAACTACACATACTCTAATGAGATGTGAGCCAGCCAAGCCTACTGGGAGGCAGGGCTGGGGGATGATGGGATGGGACTCAAGTCACATAATCTGTTGTGGTGACCAAGCAGGGTTCTTCATTTCCTTTTCTCCTCCCCCTTTTCTCCTTTCCTTTGTACAAAGAAAAGAAAAAAAAGATTATATATATATATGCCCTGTCCCTTGGATTTTGCTCTGAGCATTCTGAGAGCTATAGGCTGCACATGGAGCTGCCCATGTTGCAGTAGTAGTTGTGTCCATGTCCCATCTAAAGTAGTATGCAGTGGAGGTTTCTGTTGTGGTGGTAGATGTATGTTTAGAACTAAATCAGCTCCCCACCTTCCATCTGGCTACTCCCTCTGACTTTGGCCCAAGGACCCCTCATGGGACAGGAGGCATAGCAGTGAGAGTCTGTCCACCCCCAAACCCTCCACACCACCCCAGGGTTATGAGTTGAAAATGTTTCCACTTTTGGTTTTATTGGGAAGTGATACTATTTAGCATTCACGGTAGTGGTGGTAGTGGGTGGGAGAGTAGGGCAGGCTGCGGATCTTTCCTTGCTCCTAATTTGAGTTCCCTTCCCCTCCTCTCTTTCTGCTATCACATTCCCTGTGGTCTATTCTCTTGCCCAGGATTTTTCTCTTCTCCATGTGGCTTTTCTTTGGCTTCCCCAGTGCTGAGTGTCACAGTAGTATCTGATCCTGAGACTGAACCCCTTCCCAGATCAAAGAAGCAGATAGGAATGCTGAGCCTTAGGCCTGATGTGGGAGGGCACACTGATGCAGAGCCCTTTGGACACCTGACTCCCAGGGAATGGCATTGCAGGGTCATCTCCCTGACTCTCAGAGCTAAGCATGTAGAGGCAGGCTCCTCTTTTTCCTATCCTGCTTCCCCTGCTTCTCTTCCAAGAGACACCTTAAGCTCCTCTGCCTAAGGCTCTTCCTAAATCCCAAGCTGCTGTGGCCTGATGCCGCCATCCTACCCTGCCTTCTCTGAAGAACTGGGTGGTATCCAGGCAAAGGTACAGCTGAAGTAGAGGACATGTAAATAATTATTGTTTCCTGGGTGAGGTCTGGCTGGTTCAAGCCAGGAGGTATTAGGTGTCTCTGAGTGACTGACCATTGGATTCCTGGCAGTAGTAGCTATTCTGTGAGGTTCTGGTAGAAGGGATAGGCTCAGAGGGCTGGGTCTGGAGGGACGATCAGAGGAGAGGGCAGGCATGGCCCATTGAGAGGGCCATTGCCAGCTTGCTCTTGGTCATGGCAATTCTGGGCACTTGAACTTAGGGCCCAGGAAGATGCAAAGGGCCAATCTTTTCAGGTTAGTATTGGTGGGAAGGGAGCCTCTCTGGCTTTTGTTTGTTTTTTCACATCAAGATAACTTGCTACCTTCTGCATGCTGGCCTTGGTTCTTGGCCCTTCCTCACCCTTCAGACCCCTTTCTCTTCCAGGACAATGATTTCAGGGTTATAGGGCTATTCTACTCCAAGCATTATGAGAATGTTGCTGGTAAAGACCCTAGCTCTCTGAGGCCTGGAGGGGAGTGGATTCTCACTCAAGGAGTAGCTGCTCATTTCCCACACGCCCTTCTCCTACCTGGGTATTTGGCCTGAAGAACCAAACCCTGCTTGGCCACTGCAGACTGGCTCCAGGTTGGAACCCAACACCTGGGCTTCCAGTTACAATCCTGAGCTTTGAGCTCCAGGTACTTCGTTTTCCTAAAACTGAGCCAGGGCCTCTGGGAAGTTCTCTTTCTCATGGTCCCTTAGGCTTGGGCCAGAGTGTGATTGGCTCTCTCCTCTACCACTTTCTCTCCAAAAAGCATTTGTTACAGCCCGTAGTACACTACATCTAGGTTCAAGCCCAGACCTCTGGCTCCCTTTCTCTAAGTCTCTGTGGTAGCTCCAGAAGGCCTGTGCTTCAGCTACAAGCCAAGGATCCAGGACCTGCTGGTTACCACCTCTAGTCAATGTCCTTCTCTTCCTGCCTTTCCTATGTTCTGGCCCAAGACCTATGTGACCATGCCTGACTGCCCTTGGGAAGGCCTGCTACTTGTGTGTGGCTGAGCTTGTCCAGGCCCTCGGATGCTGCATCTCCAGGCAGCTATGCATTTTCTGGTGAAGGTTCTAGTATGCAAAGTGGGGGCTGGGCACGGATTCATCTCTGCAGGATTGTCGGGGGGGGGTGGGGGTGGGGGGGGAGGAAAGCCCAGATCAGTTTTTTGAATCCTCAGGTTTGCAGCCAGTGACCTGTTTTTGTAGTCTTATTTCTGGGAGACATAGACCATTCTCCATCTGGCAGTTGACCTGCTTGAGCCAGTGTCTGTGGTAACTGAATGAACCATAATAAATGGGAACATTTGGCCCTGTGTATCCTGCTGTGTCATGTGTTTTCATCTGGGTTTGTGTGGAGCCTCACCTGTGGGCTGTGGGTGTGGAGGTAGGGTGGTCGCAGGAGGAAGTAGAAGGCTGGATTAGCGGGGGTGAGGTGGTTTGGTCCAGATAGTCCCTGCAGGTAAGGGCAAGGGAAGAGCACAGAGGGCCCCACACAGCTCTCAGGATGGAGACTGGCAGCTGACTGAGCAGCCTCCTGGGCGAAGTTGCCTTCACCTGTTTGCTCCAGATGCCTTCCTGTTGTCATGCATACCATATGGACTACTGTTTTGGCAGTCTATGCACCTGCTCATCCTTCAGGATTCACCCCGAGTGACTCCTCTGAGAGGGCTTACCTGCCTCTGTGTTTATGCCCCTCTGTTTCTTCATGGGGGACCTTATTCTGTAATGTCCTGTGTTCCTGCTTGTCTCAAGAGCAGGGATGCGTCTGATTTATCTCTGTAACCCTTGTACTTAAAACAGAAGAGGCTCGCTAAGTATTCAAAATTAAATGCCCCACGATGAGCAGTGTCTATGTGTGGGATGGAAGTGTAGAGGGAGGAGGCCGGACAATTAGACGAAGCCCAGGTGAGAACACCAGAAAAATCAAGAACCATTAGCCAAGGTTTGGCCGCTGCATTCCCTTAAGTGGACTACAACTACCACAAAGCAGAAAGTGGACTACAACTCCCAGAAGGCTGTGCGATCACGTAGGCTGTCAGATGATGCTTACGTGAAGTTGTGTGCCAATTAGAATCAGCTCTAAACCTACGGAGATAGTGCGATATTTGGGGTTTACCCTAGACGCCCCTGGCGAGGGTGAGGAGTCAAAAGGAACTGGGAAACGGGACCGGGTAAGGGGTCGGAGACTGGATTTTCGAACAGGAGGGGGGTCAGGCCCGAAAAGCTTCGCTTGCGACAGTGGTTCTGTGGCTGGGCCTATGTCCTCACTTTCGTGTGTGTGTGTGTGTGTGTGTGTGTGTGTGCGTGTGTGCGCGCGCGTGTATCCACCTCGTTTTCCTATCTGTCTGTGAAGCTCAGCTTGCACTGTGGATCAGCATGTACGGACTGTGGAGCCTATGGGGACTTAATTTTCCTGTATGTGCTCGTGGACCGGAGCATTAAGGACCTCTTTCTGGCTAGAGCCTGAAGTGGGGAATTTGTATCGCGTTCTCATCCCCTCTTTGCACTGCTAGATGATAGTCCAGTGCTGTTTAATCTAGTTTAAATGGGGACCCTGTCAGTTCCCCACACTTACCATTTGCCTTAAAAAAAAAAAAAAAGGAATCATGATCCTGCTTCCAAAAAGGAATAGGGACTGCCGAAAGGACACACTACTGTCTTTTTAAAAAATATATTTTTATTGACTTCAGAGAGGAAGGGGGAGGTAGAGAGAGATAGAGACATCAATAATGAAAGAGACTCATTGATCCACTACTTTCTCTAGGCCCCACACTGGGGATCCAGCCCCCAACCATACCGGGTATATGTTTTCCACATTCTCCTTGTGGCTGAGAGTTGGCAGTACTGTCTCTTGCTAGTAGCCTGTGCATGTGAATATTGTCTATCTCCTTAACATACAATGTTGAGGAACTTCTCCTAATGAGATTACAGATGCAGCAAAGTCAAGTATGCTGGCCTCTGGTTTGTGAGACTAGTCTTTGATTGCCAAGGTCTTGAGTGCTTTGAATGCCTGAAGAGTACCTTGCCTTTCCTTGGGGGAGTGGGTTTAAAGTACCTCTGTGGCCACGAGATTTCCTTTTTTAAAAATATATTTTTATTAATTTTAGAGAGAAAGGGAAAGAGAGAGAGAGAGAAACATCAGTGATAAAGTGAATCATTGATTGGCTGCCTCCTGCACACCTCACACTTGGGATCTAACCCAAAACCCAGACTTGTGCCCTGACTGGGAATCAAACTAGACCTCCTGGTTCATAGGTGGATACTCCATTACTGAGCCATGCCGGCCAGGCCATGACACTCCTTTTAATGAATTTGGGTTTGGGGACAAGGTGACACTTTAGGAAGCAACAAGTGGTTCATTATTACTGAGGAGAGTAGAGTATGTTGACTGGTGGGAGATGGGGCTAGAGCAAAAGTCTGGAGCCAATAGTGAGGGGCTTGGACATTTGGCTAAAGGATTCAAGTGCTCTGCCCATCCACACCTGAATTACATTCTGCTTTGGTCCTAGGCCCCAGCACTTCATCATTCCTATCGTGGGCTGGGCTCATACCCTGTCCATCCCCTTCCTAGCCCTGGTTTTTCTCTAGCTCTACCCCTGCCCTTATTGTGATTGGCAGCTCCCTGAAACCTTTACTTAACTCTGCCATAATGAAACTCATCTTAGGAGGTTTATACACCAGGACCCTGCAGCAAACTGTCCTTTACTCTAAAGGACAGAGGAATTGCCGTTTTTCTTTCTGTGGCTTACCTGCATGGCTTGTGCCCTGGGAGCTTGAGGTTCAGTAATCACAGCCTTCAGCCCTGTAACCTCTGCCTGCCAACTCTTTCTGCTGCTCAAGAGTTCCTTATGAGTACTCAGAGCCCATGGAAATGAGGTGTAGACAGCCAAGCTACCTTGGCTATGCAAATAGGTGGTTCTAACAGGAACTGGATAGAGAGTAGCAGGCTTACTAGTTTGTGATTTGATCTTTTGTGAGTATAAACAAAAAACTGCAAGTTGTCATCCTCCATGGAATTATCAGATTGAATTGATTTGACCTTGCTTTCAAATAAACGTTGGTTAATTTATCCACTTTCTAGTCCTCAAATATAATTTTCCCTGACCCCCACCTTTTCTAGAAAGGTAGATAAGTTTGAGTCCTTAGCAAAGATAGCTCAGGAGGCCTAGTAGTAAATCTTGGGCTGTCGCATCTACTGCCAGGGAATAGTAGGAATCACCAACATGGTGATTGCCCTAAGTTTCATGGATTGCTTTCAGAAACGTGTTCCTTAGGGATGATACCAATTTGATGTGGTGGAGGTTCAGGGGCTGCGGAGGTAAAATTCACCTGGTTTTGCAGGAATCTTTCTGTCCTAGCATTAGTTGGCTAGAGTGGGAGAGGGTTAAGATTTGAGATCTGGTAGGTAGATTTCCCTGGAGAGTAAGATGTGTGCTTCCATCACCTACTGTGGGTGCTGATCAGCTTGTTGATTAGTTCTGGGAAAAAGCTGGATAGTAGGCCCTCTAGACTTGCCAGTTGCTAACAGGGTTCTCCAGGCACTGGAGTAGACTCCATTTTGCTCTGAGCAAGAAGGGCTTTGACTGAGGTCCTGGTGTAGAGCAAAGATTGAGATCATTGGTAAATGGCACTTAAGGGGAGTCTTACTGAAGGGAACTGGCCTGTGTTTAACCCCTGCTGAGGAGGGTCTGGGCCACTGGGAGACCCTTACAGGTAGGAGAGGGATAATGAACCTAAATGTGATCCTTAGCTCATGTGCCAGACCCTTGAAAGCAAATACTGGGCAAGAGGCCTATGGAGCCAAGGGGCCTGTGATGTGAAGAGGAGGCCCCTATGGGCGCACAATCACAGAGGTAGCCATCGGGCAACTTACAGGCACTTCCTCTTCAGAGTCTACTTTAGTGTCTCTTCCCCTGCTGATTCTGCCCAATTTGAAGACCCTCTAGTACAGAGAGCCATTACCACTGTCTTTCCTGCATTGATTCAAATGTTTCTGCTGGAAGAAGTTTCAAAGATCACCTGGTCCTATTTCTGCATCTTCAGATGAAGAGACAGGTCCAGGGAAGAAAGTACCCTGGCCAGGATTACACACACAATGGACAGGGCCCAGGGCTCCTGATTCACTGGCCAGGTTTCTGTTCTCTGCCTCACCCTGTTTCAGAGGGTGCAGTTTATTATTTGTTCGGCAGATGTTTAGGACCTACCAGAAGGCTGGTGATTATACCGAGGCACACATGGAGGGTACTTGCTGGCGGCAGTGGTAGTGGTGGGGAGTGGGGAGGGAGAGGCAAGGAAACTGATGAACAAATTGAATCAATGATTATCAAATAAGTGCATCCCAGAGAAGGACCCATCTTAAATGATGTCAGATGTAATTCCTCTCTTCTAAACTCATCTACAGATCCCTGAAGACAGCATCTGTCTTCTACAGTCCTTTGCCCAGTGTTAGATGTAATTTGGTCCTTAGAGATTGTTGCTGATGGAATATGTCTTTCTGTCCCAGTCTTCAGAATACAGGATTTAGTATGTTCATGTTATCATGGGCATTCACATCCAGCAACATCTGAGGGATAAGGAATAAACCAATCAGCTGGTCTCATAGGGTGACCTAAATCCCTTTATGCTTGTCTCTTCCTGGGCTTGGATTTGTAGAGTGGTGCCCAGTCTGATCTACAGCGACAGGGACAGAGGCAAATGTCTTAGCTCCCTGAAGCCCTCTAGCCCTCTTGTTGCTGAAGGTTCCACCTCACAGGCATTCTGTCCCTCCCTTCAGTCTGTCAGCCTGGCCCACTACAGTAGCTCCTTACCCTGCCCCTCCAATCTCACCACCACCAGGACCCCCTTCACACTGTCATCAACACCATCTTTCTAAGATGGAAACTCACCCTTGACCTCACCACCCTTGATACTGCCTTGGACCTGACTATACAGCCTTACCTCCCCCATTACCCTTTAGCTTTACTACTAAGCTACTCCCTGTTTGCCAAGCCTACCACCTTTCTTTAGGCCTTTTCATCTATGTAAGATTGCTCCATTGTCAGTAACTTGCAAGGTTATTTCCTTCTCTCTCTGGAAAACTTATTTGTCTTTTAGGACTCAACTTGAATGTTAATTTTTCCTCAGATAGTTACTACTGGCAGCCATAGTTCCTGGTGTCAACCTTCCTCACAGTGCTGGCCACATTACATTGTAATTGACCTATGTGTGGTGAGGGTGTCTGGCCTTCTTATCAAACTGTATGCTCCCAGAAGCTGGGACTATTGATCCCTCAGGAACCCCAGCAGCTGGGGGGTCTAACTGGGTGCTCAATACATTTTGCTTGAATGTATGAATGAAGTGGGCACCCCTTGTTCTGCTTTTAGATCCCAAATCCTGACAGCTTTATGGAGCCCAGTTCTGGCAGGCTTCCAGGACTTGAAGCCACCAGATCCCACATGGAACCACGGGCCTCATGTCCAGCTGCTGAACCCTTGATAGCAAGACAGTTCCATGTTCTTGTGGGTGTTACTGGGAGTGTTGCAGCCTTGAAGTTACCTCTTCTGGTGTCAAAGCTTTTGGACATTTCTGGCGTGAGTATCCTTACTAGACAAGCATGGTGACCTCTGAGATTAGAGAATTGCTGGTTCTGTGGCCAGCCCACTTTTGTGCAGTGCACAGGGTTTTCTTTTTCTTAATTACGGTGTTTGTGGCAGTCTGTGTACATTGGTATGAGGGGAACACAGGACACAGAGGCCGTATTTGCCAGTATAACCAGGATCTGGATTAGGTAGTTTGGACAGAGTTTAAGGGAAGACTGGGAAAGGAACACTGATAAGTGGAGGCATTGAGTTTCCACATGTTGACTCAGATTCCCTAAGGTCTTGGTGTGGGAGGAGGGTAGCTAGAGAAATGCAGCAAATTCCCTGTGTCCCCTTCTGCTTTGGCTCCCTGTCCCTGCTTTCACTCTGTCTTGTACATTGTGGTTCTGTTCTCCCTCCTTAGATACCATGGCTGTCCTATCGGTCCAAGTGCATTGTTCACAGCTCTGGTTTAAATGTTGCTCCTTCAAGTGTTCAGCAATGCCCAAGGGCAACCGCATTGTGTTTGGTGTGAGGGGTTTAATCCCAGCCATTGGCCAGACCAGTGGTCAGCAAGCTCATTAGTCAACAGAGCCAAATATCAACAGTACAATGATTGAAATTTCTTTTGAGAGCCAAATTTTTTAAACTTAAACTTCTAACGCCACTTACTCAAAATAGACTAGCCCAGGCTGTGGTATTTTGCGGAAGAGCCACACTCAGGGGACCAAAGAGCCACATGTGACTCAGCAGTTTGCCGACCACAGGGCCAGACCATCTCAATTTTAGTCAGTTTAATATATTGGGCCTCTGGGGTAGATTCTTCTGTGGGAAAAATTCTAGGCTTTGAACAGTGTGAAATCCAGCAGGTAATAACCCATTTCCTCATCCAGTATCCAAGTGTCTTCATTGATCTCCCACTGCCCCACATTCCATTCTGAAGGCCTTTGCTTTGGCCATTCTCTGCCGGGCTGCACTGCCCTCTCTGTCTTCCCAATTTCTGCACAAAAAAATGCCTCTATCTATTTTATAGTTTATGGCCAGTCTCAACCCATGTGATTTTGCTCCCTGTTAAAACTCACTTAATGTATTAAAATGGTAAGAACATTTTATTCAGAAAAGTTATTGCAATAAGGGAAGAGAGGCCTCAGTATAGAACTGGGCTTAATTCTGAATACAACAAGGAAAAGTAGGAATTTATAGCCAAGTATCAGTGTGGGGGTCAGTGAATGGAAAAATTGCTCAGAGGAAACATTCTGGCTAAACTGTCCCAACAGGTTTCTTGCTAAAGGTAGGCAGGGTGATCAGACATCATCTGGGATGAGAAGCCTAATGAGATTCAGGATGGTCAGATATTGAGGGTGGGAGCTTCTGGAGAACAACTTACTAACAGGATTATTGCTCTTGAGGACAAGGCTCAAAGGCAGGCCAAGTCAAAAAAGTAGCTCACTACAGTTTCCTCAAGGAGAGAATTTTTTTATTTATTTATTTTACTGTTTAAGGTATTACAAATAGTAGTACAGGCAGTCTTCGGGTTACGTTGGACTTGAAGTACGTTGTTTTGTGGTTAGGTCGCCATCTCCCATCCTATCTAATAAAAGAGTAATATGCAGATTGACCATCACTCCAACACACAAGATAGCTGCCCCCATGTGGTCAAAGATCCTGCCCCCATATGGACACAAGATGGCCACCACAAGATGGCCAGCAGGGGAGGGCAGATAGGAGGCACCTGGCCTGCAAGGGAGGGCAGTTGGGGATGACCAGGCCATCAGAGGAGGGAAGTCGGAGGCAAACAGGCTGGCAGGGAAGCAGTTAGACATCAATCAAACTGGCATGGGAGTGGTTAAAGGTTGATCAGGCTGGCAAGCAGAAATGGTTAGGGACAATCAGGAAGGCAGGCAGGTGAGCAGTTGGAAGCCAGCAGTCCTGGATTGTGAGAGGGATGTCCGACTACCCGGTGGGTGCTTATGTAGGTGGGTTCTGACTTACGGTGAAAATTGTGTTACGCCATAGGAATAGATCTCCCATTATTGTATATATGTCTCCTTTTTTTTCTCCCATTGACCTCCCCCTGGCCTTTCTTACACCCTGGTACTTGCCCTCACATCCACACCCCAGTATTGGTTGTGTTATATGCATGCATACAAGTCCTTCGGTTGATCTCTTACCTCACCCAAGCTTCCCCTACCTTCCCCCTATAGTTTGATAGTCTGTTCCATGCTTCTTTGCCTCTATTTTACAGTTTATCATGTTCTTTATATTCCATAAATGAGTGAGATCATGTGGTATTTATCTTTCACTGCCTGACTTATTTCACTTAGCATAATGCTCTCCAGTTCCATCCATGCTGTTGTTGCAAATGGTAAGAATTACTTCTTTTTTACAGCAGTGTAGTATTCCATTGTATAGTTGTACCATAGTTTTCTAATCCCCTCATCTGCTGATGGACATTTAGATTGTTTCCAAATCTTAGCTATTGTAAATTGTGCTGCTATGAACATAGGGGTGCATATATTCTTTCTGATTGGTGTTTCTGGTTTTTTTTTTGTTTGTTTGTTTGTTTTTTGTATATTCCTAGAAGTGGTATTACTGGGTCAAATGGTAGTTCCATCTTTAATTTTTTTAGGAAATACCATACTGTTTTTCCATAGTGACTGCACCAGTCTGCATTCCAACCAGCAGTGAAGGAGGGTTCCTTTTTCTCCACATCCTCGCCAGCACTTGTCATTTGTTATTTATTGATGGTAGCCATTCTGACAAGTGTGAGGTAGTACCTCGTTGTTTTGATTTGCATCCCTCAGATGATTAGTGACTTTGACCATGTTTTTATATGTCTCTTGGTTTTCTGAATGTCCTCTTTCGAAAAGTGTCTATTTAGATCCTTTGACCATTTTTTGATTGGATTGTTTACCTTCCTTTGATTAAGTTGTATGAGTTCCCTGTAAATGTTGGAGATTAAACCCTTATCGAAGATAACATTGGCAAATATATTCTCCCATGCTTTCTTGTGTTTTTGTTGTTGTTGTTGATGATGATGATGATGCTTTCTTTTGCTGTGAAAGGTCTAATTTCTTTCCTTTCTTTCTGTCCTTCCTTCCTTCCTTCCTTTCTTCTTCCCTCCCTCCCTTCCTTTCTTCCTTCCTCCCTCCCTCCCTCCCTCCCTCCCTTCCTTCCTTCCTTTCTTCCTTCCTTCCTTCCTTCCTTCCTTCCTTCCTTCCTTTATTTCTTTTTTGCAAGTATCTGTCCAGTTTTCCCAACACCATTTATTGAAGGGACTGTCCTGTCTCCATTGTATGCTCTTGCCTCCTTTGTCAAATATTAATTGAGCATACTGGCTTGGGTTGATTTCTGGGTTCTCTGTTCTGTTCCATTGGTCTATGTGTCTGTTCTTGTGCCAGTAGCAAGCAGTTTTGAGAACAGTGGCTTTGTAGTATAGCTTGATATCTGGTATTGTGATCCCTTCAACATTGTTCTTCTTTCTCAACATTGTTCTTCTTTCTCTTCTACTCGAGGTCTTTTTTATTCCAGATGAATTTTTGGAGAATTTATTCTAGGTCTTTGAAGTATGCCATTGGTATTTTTATGGGGATTGCATTAAATTTATAGATTGCTTTTGGTATTATGGACATTTTAATGATGTTGAGTCTACCAATCCATGAACATGGTATATTCTTCATTTGTTCATGTCTTCCTCTATCTCTTTTTTTAGTATCTTGAAATTTTCTGAGTACAGATCCTTTGTCTTTTTGGTTAAGTTTATTCCTAGGTATCTTAATTTTTTATTGTAATGGTAAATGGGATTCCTTTTTTAAAAATGAGGAAGGGAAAAGGATAGAGAGCTAGAAACATAGATGAGAGAGAAACATCGATCAACTGCATACTGCATCCTGCACACTGCCTACTGTGGATGTGCCCACAACCAAGGTACATGCCCTTGACTGGAATTGAACCCGGGACCCTTCATTGAGCCTTCATTCTGCAGGCCGACACTCTATCCACTTAGCCAAACCAGTTAGGGCTGGGGTTGCTTTTTAAATTTATATTTCTGTGAGTTCATTATTGGTGTATAGAAAAGTCATAGACTTCTGGATATTAATTTTGTACCTGCTACATTGCCAAATTCATTTATTTTATTTACTTATTTATTTTTAAAATATATTTTATTGATTTCTTACAGAGAGGAAGGGAGAGAGATAGAGAGCTAGAAACGTGGATGAGAGAGAAACATTGACCAGCTGCCTCTTGCACACCCCCTACTGGGAATGTGCCAACAACCAAGGTACATGCCCTTGACCGGAATCGAACCCGGGACCTTTCAGTCCGCAGACCGACGCTCTACCACTGAGCCAAACCGGTTTTGGCGCCAAATTCATTTATTAAGTCTAATAATTTTTGATGGAGTCTTTGAGGTTTTCTATGTATATCATGTCATCTCGAATAAGGACAGTTTTACTTACTTCTTCTTTTCCAATTTGGATGCCTTTTATTCCTTCTTGTCTGATCACAATGGCTAGTACTCCAGTACTATGTCAAACAGGAATGGTGAGAATGGACATCCTGTCTTGTTCCTGTTCTTAGATAAAATGGTTTTAGTTTTTGTCCATTGAGTATGATGTTGGCTGTAGGTTTGTCATATATGGCTTTTATTATGTTGAGGTATGATCCTTCTATTCCTACCTTGCTGAGAGTTTTTATCGAGAAAGGGTGTTGAATTTTGTCAAATGCTTTTTCTGCATTAATGGATATGATTACCGTATTTTTCGGACCATAAGACGCTCCGGACCATAAGACGCACCAGTTTTTAGAGAAGGGAAATGAAGAAAAAAAGATTCTGAAACAAATAGTGTCCTAAAATATTTTCTGTGCATTAAAACCCAACATCACAGTCATAAACACATGTAATCAACCCTGTAAAGCAGGGGTGTTGAACTCAATCAGAGAAGGGGCCAAAATCTAAAATCCAGTCTAAATCGCGGGCCGAAGTTTACTGAACAGTCATAAACTGACAA